CGATCTCCGCGAATTTAGGCAACTTCACGGGGGGAATAGAACATCTCAGTAGGTAAATGATGAGTTGAAATGGCAGGAGCGCTGCCGGAAGAGTCTAAATTTATTACATGACAGGGCCTGAATTGCAAGGATCACATGGATGGACGAAGCATCGACTGGAAGTGAATCTGGTGACGACCAATTCCCATCGGGAGACGCTATGTCTACGTTCTTTACTTCAGATAATGAAATGGTCGCTCTTATGTGTCCGATGTTCACCCGGTCTTAGACCCCCTTCCTTTTAAAGCTTATTAAAAATTGTTTTCGATCCATCCCATCATTTTCTCGTTCATGTGAACCGACTTTGTGGCCAAGCGCACAGCAGCCTTTTAATCATGTCGACAAACGAGCCTTCACCTGCTGTGGCAGTGGAAATGCCGCCCCTTGATGTAAAAAAAGCTGAGGACCGCTTGGCACATTATCATCCGGAGCATCACCATTTTTACGAGGCGAAGTCGCATTTGGGCAAGCGCATCTTCACTATTGTGATTGCTGGCACGGGTTTTCTGGCCGACTCCTACGACCTCTTCGTTATCAATATCGGTGAGTATTTTTTAAAGACAAGTCTTACCGTTTGCAAAAGCGGCCAACCTTCTTGATTTTTTTCCATTTTCTGAAGCAGAGTCAATATTCACTATAGCACGTTTGCATTCAAGTTTAGAATCCGCCATTATCACTGTCTTTGGTATCAGCATCTGTCCTTGAAGTACATTCCTCGAAGCCATTACAATGTTGAAGGCAGTAAATGAAGCTTTCTAATGACTTTTTTTTTCCCTGTCTGCCACCCGAACATTAGCCTTGCTAATGATGAAACAAAACAAGAACTATGGAGTCCTTACCCCAGACCTCCAGTCTCTAGTCTCGCTGATGGCTATTGTTGGCGCTTTATGCGGCCAACTCTTCTTCGGCATCCTTGGTGATCAATTCGGCCGGAAAACCACATTCATCACCACTGCAGTATTGACAATTGTCGGCACAATTCTTCAAGCCTGTGCGCAGCCCACGCAATTTTTGGGCATGAATATCTGGCAGCAGCTCATGCTTTTCCGTTTTATCATGGGCATGGGGGTGGGCGGGGAGTACCCCATGGCCTCCACCATCACCGCCGAGTCCTCAGCCCCGGGCGAGCGTGGACGTAACTTAGCGGCAGTCTTCTCTATGCAAGGTGTCGGGCGAGTTCTGTGTGCGCTTATGCTCCTGGTCGCAGCTTTTACGATCGAAGACACGAACTGGCAATGGCGCTTTGCAATTTTAATGGGGGCGGTGCCCATGATGGCCGCGGTTTGCTTCCGTTGGCTTCCTGAGACCGAGGCCTTCGAGAAAGAGGTCAAGCTTAAACAGCCTGCATTAGGACAGCGATTCCGAAATATTTGGGTCGTCGTATGGGCCAACCGGGTCAAACTGTTGGGTACGGCGGGCTCCTGGTTCATCCTGGACGTGTTGTTCTACGGCAACTCCTTGTTCTCGGCGGACGTGACGCGGGCCATGGGCACAGAAAACACCCTGGAGGGAAAGACGGTTCAGAACTTAATCATCCAACTCATGGCCATGCCGGGGTACATCTTGGCGGTCATATTCTTGGACCGCATCGGGAGGAAACGCCTGCAGCTGATCGGATTCGGTGGCGAGGCAATCATCTTTGCAGCCATGGCGATTTTTCAACAGCAGTTTAAGGGACTCCCAGCCCTCTTTGTCTTCATGTACGCCCTCACCTTCTTCTTCGATGATTTTGGCCCCAACACCACCACTTTCGTCATTCCCGCCGAGATTTTTCCCACTGAGGCCCGTGCCACCTGCCACGGTATCTCAGCTGCTTTTGGGAAGGCAGGCGCAGCGATTGGCGCGGCGGCTTTCCTTAAGGTGGCCAATATGTTCTG